CCTCTCTTTAGTTTGATAGTCTCAAAGCATTGATCTTCACTGGGTAGCATGTATTTCATTTCTGTCCTGGTTTTCCTAGGCAACACCTAGCAGAACCTCTCCTTTCTGGTGGTGTTTTTGAAGAGACTTTCTCTTGATATCTGTGCTCCTTGGAATTGCTACAGTTTGCCCCTATCACTGCTGTTTCCAGAGTGACTCCTCCTCCTCCCTTTCTTCTGGCCATGTTATTTTTTAACATAGGTGTCCGTGCCCTGTCAGTGCCCCGATGGCTCTCAGAAGTTTCTGTATTTTAAAAATTAAAGTGGCAGAAATAGGAAGGATATTGACCAGGAAAAACATACAAGAAAGTGCATCAGGTTACGTGGATAGTTACATTTCCATATGTCTAAATTTTATTAGAGACTTGATTTTGAGTTTGGTGCGAAACCATATTTGTGCAAACAACACAGAATTTCGTTTTAGGTTATTAGGATTGGCATTACTGGCGTTACTGGTGTGGTGAGCCAGAAGACTCTGGAGAACTAGACTTTGTGCTTCTCGATACCAGTCAAATTTGAACCGCCTTGACAGGAAGAATTATCGTGGTTATTTGAGTCTAACATCAGAAACATCCTGGGTGCATCTCTTATTGAATAAATATTGAATCCTGTTGGGGACAAAGATTTGAGATAATGGCAGATGGCTTTGCCTTTCTCTTCCCAGCCCTCCTTTTTGGGGGTGGGGTTGGGGAAGATAGTAGGTGTAAAAGTGGGCTGGCCAAATACTGTAATTGGGGGGGTGATAATCTTTAGTGGGCATGTACATAGTGTTATGTTTGTCAAAAAGGAATAGAGATTTTGAGCGGGAGGCTTGGGAGCACTGTGCTTTGTGAAATGACATGGGGAATGCCAGGAGGGAGAGAGATCTGGAGGAAGGATGTTAGGGTCAACTGAAGTTGTGCTGGATTTGAGATTGGTTGAGATTTTTATATAATTAAACTCAAAGGTAAATTCTAGGAATTTTACATTTGGAAGTTTGTTTGATTTCTAATAGAATCTCAAATCCTGGCTCTAAATAAATAATAGACAAGTGAGTGTGAAAGAATAGATGGGAAAGTTCTAGGCATAGTGCCAGGTTCTGGGGAGGTAAATAAGACAGTTATGACCTTCTCCCACCTGGGGGACTTTTTTTTTTTTTTTTAA